GTTTCATGGCCCCATACTATGCCTTAAAACCCTCTGCAAGCACCTCAGGTTAGTTCCACCCTCATTCCTGGGAAAGCCCAATCGGGCAGCTCCCAGAGAAGCAGGAGACTGTATATGAGACTGGGTCAGCACTGCTCAGTCTGCAAGGGCTGAGTGAATGTCAAGAGTGCAGTTCTGGGGCTGAAGGCATGGCTCAAGTGGTAGAGCGCCTGTCTTGCAAGCGTGAGGCCCTGAGTTCAAACCCCAGTTCTACCCAAAAAAAAAAAAAAGTAAGTGCAGTTCTTGGCAGAGCTGCTTGAGGGGCTGGGGAAGCCAGGTGCGTGTCCAGCTATTATAGGTGAGGAACAGAAGTTTGCCTTCTAGGGATGAACCTGCACTGAGCAGGCTCCAAGCCTCACCTACCCCATGCTGTTGAGCCAACCTGAAAGGCAGGTGGCATTTACATTTAGATGTTCTCAGTAGGTTGGGGTGTGGGATGTGAGGGTGGCTTTGGAGAAAAGTGGCTCTATGCATGGGGTGGTGGGCAGGACTAGAACTGTGTCCTGCCTCTAGAAAGCCCCCAGTCCTGTGCCTGCCCTTGGGAAGGTGGGCTATAGCCACAGACAGGTGGAGGTGGGGCTCCCTGTTCCTAGGAGGCTTGCCTAACTTTTTGCAGAAAGGCCTGGTGGACATAAGGTTGTTAGTCATGGGCATAGGAACCAGGCTGGGCCTCAATGGCCAGTTCCATCCCCCCTTGGACCAGGAGCTTGTGCAGGCCTACCCTCCCTCTCCTAGACATATCACCCTGTTCATACCTTGGGGTTCCCCTAAGTCTGCCCCAGCTCCCCTCTTACTGAACCTTTGTTTTGAGGGTTTTCTTGTTGGTAGGAATTCTAACAGCTCAAGAAAGCTGCAGGCTTTGGTGTGTCAGGGTTCCTGCAGTGCCTGCTCCATATGCCCCATCCTTCTCGACAGTCTGGAGCCACACACCCTGTGCTGCCTCCCTGCCATGGCAAAGGCTGGGACCATTCCTTGCTGGCTGGGCTTCTACTTGAAAAATGCCGTGGAGGGACACTGAGTTCCTTAGTCAGTTTGATCTGTGAGACCCAGTGAAAGGGACACCCAGCAACCCAGGCCTTCTCTTGCAAACGTTTCTAGTTCCTGCGTAGTTCCTGCCCTTACTTCAGCTTGTGGAAAGCACCTCTGCCCCAGTAGGGGCCTCTGCTTAGGATTAAGCAGCAGGCACATGGCTTTAACTAGGGCTCAATGTGGTAGTCCCAGCATGTTCAATGCTGTGCCTAGAAATGGGTAAAATCAGGAACTTAAGACTCAGAAGCTGGGCGCCAATGTCTCATGCCTGTGATCCTAGCTACTCAGGAGGCAGAGATCAGGAGGATCTCGATTCGAAGCCAGCCTTGCTTCATGAGCCCCTGTCTTGAAGATACCCAACACAAAAAAGGACTGGCGGATTGGCTCAAGTGGTAGGGTGCCTGCCTAGTAAGTGTGAAGCCCTGACTTCAAATTCCAGTACCACCAAAAAAAAAAAAAATAGACTCAAAAGAAATCCTTGAAGACACCTGGCATGTGATATGTGAGACCATGTGGTCTTGGGAACATAACTGAGCCTGCTCTTACCTTTTCTGTAACATGCAGATACTAAAGAGCTGCCCCACAGGCTGGTCTAAGGCTAAGTTGATACTCAGGTAGGGTTCAGCACTCTGGAGCCCCCAGGAAATGTCCCGACTCTGAGAATGGCAGGATTTTTCCTCCTCTGGGTCCTTCCTTACTCAGAAAAGTCTTGTGGGCTTTGGAGAGCACCCTGCCCTTGTAGGGCTCTCCAGAAGGCCTTTCAGGGCCTGCGCTGGGTGTGCCTGTGGCTACACCATACTGCACCTGATAGGTGAGCCTGTGCTGCCACTTGAGTTTGGTGGTTTCCTTCTCAGCTTTTCAGCTGAGACCACCTCTGCTGAAGGTTTGTGGGATGAGACCAGCCGTTTGAGGAGCTCATGAACCCTGGGGTCTGAACTACATGCTAGTTTTATAATAGAAGGTGTTTGGGGTGTTGGTGTTTAAGTTCTGGAAATCTTCATGAGCTGTGTCATCTGATTCTTCTCTGCACGGAGGGATCTGTCCCATTGTCTGTGCTGCACTTAAGACAGGGAATAGGATGAGCAAGTGTGGATGTGGCAGGCTGAGGAGTGAGTCATGGTAAACAGGGAGGGCTGTGGGGAAGACACACTGAGCTGCAGCAGGGCCCTGCAGCTCATAGGGGCTCCTCTCCCCCAGCAGCATGTGTGGGTTCCAAGTTCTCTACTGTTTACTTCTAAATTTTCTTTATGGTGCAAGCATTCAAACCTAGAGCCTTGCACATACTAGAGAAAGTGTTCTACCACTGATCTACATTCCCAGCTCAGGTTCTTTTTTTTTGGCTTTGTACTGGGGTTTGAACTCAGGGCCTTATGCTTGCTACCACTTGAGCCACTCCACCAGTCCTGTTTTGTGTTGGATATTTTCAAGATAGGGTCTCTTGAACTATTTGCCTGGGTTGGCTTTGAACTGCAGTCCTCCTCATGATTGCTGCCTCCCAAGTAGCTAGGATCACAGGTGTGAGCCACCAGCACCCAGCTTTTTTTTTAAAGCTGTGTCTTGCTGTGTTGCCCAGATTGGCCTCCAACTCCTGGCCTCAAGTGATTTCAATGCACCTGACTCAGCCTCCCAAGCATCTGGTTTCATTTCTCTTAGGAAAAGACATTCAGCATCTTTTCATGTTGTGTTTTGGTCATTTATCTTTCCTATTTTCCTCCAGCTATTCCAAAGGCTGGGTGTGGCAGTACATAACTACAATACCAGCAGTAGGGAGGCTGAGGCAGGAGGATTGCAAGATAAAGGCCAGCCTGGGCTACATAGCAGGATCCTGTCTCAAAAGAAGATCCTTTGTTCATTTGCTTATTTATTTTGCAGTAGTGGGGCTTGAACTCAGGGCCTACACCTTCAGCCACTCCACCAGTGCTTCCTCCTGCCCCCACCCCCCCGTTTTTGTGTGATGGGTTTTTTCAAGATAGGGTCTCACAAACCATTTGCCTGGGCTGGCTTCAAACCACGATCCTCCTGATCTGTCTCCTTAGTAGCTAGGATTACAGGCATGAGCCACCAGCACCCAGCCTCCTTTGTCCATTTTTAATTGAATTATTTCTTTGTTAATCAGTTGTAAGAGTGCTTTATATTTATAAATACAAATCCTGTGCTCACTTTGGCAGCACATATATAAAATTGGAACGACACAGAAATTAGGATGGACCCTGCACCATGACAAATTCATGAAGTATTCCATATTTAAAAGATAAATACAAATTTTGTATCAGACACATGGTTTATAAGATTTAGTGATGTTCTTTGAGTACAAAAGTTTTTTATTTATTTTTTTGTGGTACTAGGGTTTAAACTCGGGGCTTTCACCTTGAGCAACTCCACCAGCCCTTTTTGGTGATGGTTTTTTCGATAGGGTTTTGCAAACTATTTCCCTGGGCTGGCTTCAAACTGAGACCCTCCTTATCTCTGCCTCCGGAGTAGCTAGGATTACACGCATGAGCCACCAGTTTTTTATTTTAAGCCAGGTGTAGCACATGTATGATCCCTGCACTCAGAAGGCAGGGAAGGTCAGTTTGGGCTATACAGGTAGCAAGACCTTGTCTCAAAAGTTTTTAATATTTCATGGGGGATGGTGGTGTACACCTACATATATTTATGTATTTAATTTATGAACTCCAGGCTCCCTCACCCCTGGCAGAATTACTTGGTGGTGCTTGCCCTTTGTGCCTGGACTGTAAGGACTCTGGCCAAGGCTCTTCTGGGACAGCTGTTATTATTGTATATGGTCTTACGCTGAGTTCTTTCTAGTTCGTATTACTACTTTCAGTAGAAAAATGTAGTCCCACTTGAAAATGCTGTGAACAGTTAGACTTTTATAAGATGCTAAGCAAGAATGAGGCCAGGAGGCCTGGGCTTCCCAGCTTCTCCCTCAGTGCCTAGTTGTAGGTGCTCAGGGAATCTGGTGAAGAAATGAGACAAAGTATTTCACTCCTGACTCCCTCCTCTTCTTCCCACCCCGCCACAGGAAGGTGAACAAGCTGGAACCTAAGTCCATCTCTTGGTCCGTTCTTTCTGCACGCCTTCATGCATGGGAAGTGGATGTATTGCGCATCCACTCAGTACGGGGGTGGATGCTGTATGCTGGTGGGGAGCATAGAGCAGATGGCAAACTCCGCAGCCATGCACTTGGTTGGGGGGGCGGGGTCAAAAGCAGAGCTGTGAAACGGTGGAGGAGAGTAGTAGTTGGACTGTACAGGCTGAGGGTGCTGCCTCCCGTTCCTCTGAAACAGCTCCCCAGAGTCTTGTCTGTCCCAGCTAGCAGCTGAAGGACCTTTACCTGCCTCCCTTCTCTGAGTACCAGAGATCTGAGGTAAGAAGTCTGGCACCCTCACCCTGGCCAAAGCAGCCTCTGGTGGAGGTCAGCTGTAGTAACTGCCTCCATGCCTCCTAAATGTTATGGGAGGGGAGAAGTAGAGGCCAAATTACCCTCAGTGGAGCCCTGGGTTAGGTTCCCAGGGCTACTGGCCAGAGCCTTCACTGGGCCCTGTCCCCAGAGTTCTGGGTTCTTACCCTCCAGCTCCCAAAGAAGCGTGGGTGACTGTAGAGCAGTGCAGAGGATGGTGGCTCTGGGCTGGCAGTCTCCTGGGGAAGGTGCAGCATTCCTAAGAGCAAGTCTACTGGTGATGTTACCGAAGATAGCAGCTCTACTCCTCCCACAGCTTGGAGAAGAGGTGGCAGCTCAGGCACCTGAGTCCAAGGCAGGAGAGCCCAGCAGGAAGAGCCTTAGTGTTTTGCACAAAGAGGCTTTCTGTTTGCACTTGGTGGGCACCTGAGGCTGGCCGCATACCATGTGGTGGGCCCCACTGCAGCCCAGTGCCCGAGTGGAAGCAGATTGGCTGGGAGCCAAGTTCAAGTACGGGTTTTCCCTCCAGGTCCAGGAGCAGCAGCGAAGATGTCTAACGAGCCACCCCCTCCTTACCCAGGGGGCCCCACAGCCCCGCTTCTGGAGAAGAGTGGAGCCCCATCTACTCCAGGTAGGGTTATCCCTGGGGGTCCTGTCCTAGCTCCCTCCCTTCCCCACGTCTGGTTGCGTCCTCTTTAACAGTGGATTAATTGGACCTACTTCAAGATTACCCCATGTCCCAAAGCAGTGAGCTCCAGCTTGTGTTGGAACCGTCTGAGCCTCCCTTTCTGCCTTTCCCAGGCCGCACCTCCCCAGCTGTGATGCAGCCCCCGCTGGGCATGCCGCTGCCCCCTGCAGATATTGGTCCCCCACCCTATGAGCCACCAGGTCACCCAGTATCCCAGCCTGGCTTCATCCCCCCCCACGTGAGTTCGGATGGCACCTACATGCCTCCAGGTGAGTTGGGAAGGGAGCTGAGGGGATCATCAGGGCAGCTGCCATCCAGCCTTCACTATGGCAGTTGGTCACCAGTCATGGACTGTGGACATGGGAGAAAGTGGTAGAGAACAAGGTTTGTCATGCCAGAGGACACTGGCAGGGAAAGCTCATGCTGAAAACTGAGTGTTGCAGGGACTTGAGCCCCTGGTGGAGGCCTGGACCTCTCTGCTCATCAGCAGCTCTCCGGCGCTACCACTCAGGTTAGGCTGGTCCTTGGCACACTAGGCCCTGACACATGGAGAAGCCCTGTATCTAAGAGCGGGGCAGGGCAGCGACATATAACTTTCCTTTCTGTGCTTTAGGCCCTCCTTGTAGGCATGGGCACCCAGTCCCTGTATGCCAGAGGTAAGGGAGCAAAGGGGAAACTGGGCCACAGTCCTAGCTCTCTGACACATTTGTCTTGGTCCCATGGGCCAAGAAAGACTGGGTGAATGTGAATGGCCACCTTGATCCAAGGCCCTAGCTAAAAGGCCTCCTCCTGCAGGCACTCAGTAGCCCTCTGTAAGAGGGCGGTGGAAGCTTCAGGCTGTGCCCTGTCTGCTGAGACCTGGATTTTGTGCTCATTCCTCACTGGGGTAGGAGGCCTGACCTCTGTTCTGTCTTCTGTGTTGTTCCAGGTTTCTACCCGCCTCCAGGCCCTCACCCACCCATGGGCTACTATCCACCAGGACCCTACCCACCAGGGCCCTACCCTGGCCCTGGGGGCCACACAGCCACAGTCTTGGTCCCTTCAGGGGCTGCCACCACTGTGACAGTGCTACAGGGAGAGATCTTTGAAGGCGCGCCCGTGCAGACGGTGTGTCCCCACTGCCAGCAGGCCATCACCACCAAGATCTCCTATGAGATCGGCCTGATGAACTTTGTACTGGGTTTCTTCTGCTGCTTCATGGGGTAGGTGTGGGTACTGGCAGGATGGGGATGCCAGGGCTCTGTAGACTGCCTCTGCCTCCCCTGCCTTTTCAGGTCTCAAGCTGTCTCTCCCTGTCTCTGATTCAGATGTGATCTGGGCTGCTGCTTGATCCCCTGCCTCATCAATGACTTCAAGGATGTGACACACACGTGCCCCAGCTGCAAAGCCTACATCTACACATACAAGCGCTTGTGCTAACGGAGCCAAACTTGGACTTCCCTACCTGTCAGTCTGGTCCCCTGTGCTCTTTGCTTCCTATACTCAGTGGTTGCCTCCTCCCCTCCCCACCCCCGGGTTGGAAGCTGTGCCACCATCCCCTGGAAGTCCTGTTCTCACCTTGCCCTACCCTGAGCATCTGACTCTTCCAGCAAAAATTCTGTTGGATTAAGGCCAAGGGCCAGTGGGTGGCAGGGAGGTGGCACTGAGTTTGTGTGTTGTTGGTTTGCTTGGCATTTGTGTTCCAGAAGATAAGCTGGGAAGACCTCCTATTGGGGTCCTCCTTCCTCCATTTCCGTCCAAGATCCAGGATTCATCCTGAGTTCCTGGGACCAAAGGCAGCCAGAGCAGTAGCAGGTCCCAGGCTGGGGGCCTGCAGTGGGGGCTATGCCTGAAGCCAGTTGTTTTTGACCTGGTGGGCCAAGAGTAGGGCACTGTCTAGAGTCCGGTGGACTCAAGCAGGACAGGGTCATAGGCCTGGGTTTGTTGTGGGTGTTGTCCCTCTGGGGAGCCAGAGGTAGGGTGTGATGAAAGTAACGACTGCCGACCCTGGCCCTCAGAACTCTCAGGTATGGAAACCCAGGACCTCTAACCCCTTGTCCCAAGTGCCCAAGAGTTGTCTGGTGTAAGGATACCAGGCGAGTCATAGCCCTGGTAGCCAAGAGGGACTTGGACATGCCCTCAGCTTCCACTGAGTTGGTATGCAGACACCCTTTCTGGCCACACCTCTGTGAAGCCCTGTATTTTCTGGGCAGAAGGAATACCCATTAGCCTAGCGTGTCCCATCTGCCCTGTGTCCTGGCTGTGTGTGGATGTGATCTCTGCCTGGTGACTGCTGTGTCCCAGTTGGGACAGATGGCAGATAGGAGGGGCTTCCTTGTAGGTTCATTGGGATCTGCAGTGCTCTCCCTTGGTTCTCTTCCCAAAAAGCACTGGGCTGGGGACCAGGAAGGAACAGCCATAAGTAGTGGGGTGCCCTAGAGGACACCAGCCCTACCAGGTATAAGCCCAGACCTGTCTTTATTTCCTGAATGGTTGGTTTGTGAACTTGCCCATATGGACACTATCCTGCTGCTGTCCCTCTCCTGGTCTCGCACTGCCACTGCATGGCCTCTTGTCACTGTGAATTGTGGCCTGGTTTGAGTTTGTAGTTTCTCATTAAATTGGCCCTTTCACTTCCCTGGCCTGGGCCTCTGCTCTCTTGCCTGGCTTCCTTCTTTTCTTAGGGAGAGGGTGGGGCTACAGGTAGTCACCTTCAGGCAGGGGGTGCTGAGCCCAACTACCTGGGACAACACAGATACTTAAGGACCTAATTATGCCAAACCAGAGTTAGATGTAGACCAGCCCTGCAGGAATCGAGCTGTGACTGGGCCAGGACAGCAGCTGGCTTCAGCACTGGCTATAAAGTTCCCTTACTTTTCCTGATACTGGTTCTAGCCAGTAGCAGTACGTTTGTGTCTGCTCCCCTGAACCTGCAAACTGAAGCCCCCTTCCCTCACCAGCTTGGGCTTGATGTCCTTCTAATCCTGTAGGTGCTGTTCTTAGTCTTTTAGCAAGACAGCCATTAAGATGAGGTTTATGGTCTGAAGGTTAACAGTCTGGGTGCAGTCTGGCACCCATTCTGAACTAGTTCTGGCCTTGTCCCACTAACTTTTCTGAACTGAATGCGGTAGACTCAATCTCTAGTTTAAAGAGTTTCCTCACCTTTTAAACTGTTTTTGAATAAAACTTTTACAGGTAATATAGTCCTATTAATAAAAGATATTTAACTTCACATTTCTATTTTAGATGATGAATTGTTTAAATATAAATATGCGTTTTTTAAGTAGGAAACTTTCAAAGTATTTCTGAGTTAGAAAAATCACAGTCCACGCAGACATGAAAGATGTAACAAAGGTGTTGAGAGTGTCTGTCCCTGGAGGCCAGAGATGGGGTGCTGGGAGATGACCAACCAGGAGTGTTGGAGCACATAAGGGTAGGAGGGGCTGCCAGGGGCAGTCAGCTAAAAGGATGTCCACTTCCCCACAATGATACAACATGCCCTTGCTTCTGAGGGACTCTCCTTCCCCATGGGCTATTTGAGTCAAGGAAGTGGTTTGAACATGCCAGGAAGGAAAGAGGAAGCATGCAGAGTCCACTTTATTGAGTACTGCAGTGTTTCACAGGCCAGAGGAGGGGACAGTCCAGGCTAACAGACTTGGAGGAGTCCTGGTTGAGAGGGTGTGCTCCTAGGGCCGTGCAAGGCAGAGGGGGAAGCCTGACTTCAGTCCACTCTCCTCCTACCTTCCCACTGCAAGGTCTAGAAGTTGAGCAGCAGCATCTGGCAAGACCTCCCTCCTCCCAAAGAGTGGAGGAACTAGTCACTCACTCCCAGCAGGACAACAATAGCTCCCAAGTAATATGAAGAATAAGGGGAATGCCCCAGGGCTCAAGAGGTATAGAAGCCCTGGAACAGAACTGGTTCACTCTGCCATGCTGTGCTGTGTGAGCTGCTACCAGGGTGACAACTGGTGCCTGGTGCACATCTGGTCCGCAGAGAGGACGCGCTGTCAGGCAGAGGCTCTAGTGTCTGGCTTTTATTGGTTGTTTTTTTAAACCCAGCATTTAAAAAAATCACCTGAGGTGGTAGTTTAGTTGGGGGTGGAGATGGGGGTGGGAAAGTGGTTACTTGGGAGGAGGGAGCCAGCATGGTATGACAGGTCCTTCACATGTAGTACCAGGCCAAGAGTCCAGCAGCCAGGGCCACGCTGGCAGCCAGAATGAACTGGAGGCTGGGCTTCCTCAGTACAGCCACGGCTGTCCGGAAGGGGCAGCTGCTGCCCTCCAGGGCACCTGTGTGCAGCACAACAGGAGACATGGCATCAGTGGGGGCCATTGGTGAGCCAGCCCCAGGAGGGCAGCCTGGGACCCACACCTACCTTTGTCTTGCTGAGCAGCATAGAAGGGGCATTTACGCACATCACCCTTCCCATCATGCATGGGAAGCCCATCCTCCAGGGTCTCTCTGGCCAGCATGGAGCCAGCCTGGTCCAGTTCACTGAATACCTAAAGAGCAGAAACCAACTGAGCCGTCCCTGTACTGCGCAGCCTCTGCTTTCAAGAGAACCCCTCCCTGCCTCACCCCCCCCCCGTATGGAGGGAGCTGGAGTAGGTACGCCTTCGTGGGAGAGCTCAGTCAGTAACCAAGCAAGCAGCCTGAGGATGGAGCAACACACTACCTACACCTCTAGCAGAGCTCTCGGGAGACAAGGCCATACTGTGCTGGTGGCACTCCACTCTAGTGCCCACGGCTGCTCTCTTGACGCTAGGGCTGACCTGGGGCTCTAAGGACAGAACCAGCCTCCTGTGTGCTCAGCCCCAACTAAAGGATGCTTATCAACTTTCCTTACTCTCACTGGTGAATCTGGCTCTAATGAACTTACAAAGCAAGATTTCTCAGGCTAAGCCTCGCTAAAAAGGAGGAAATTATCTGTTTCTCAGTTCCAGCATCCTGTGATGAAAGGGAGGGAGACAGCTCCGTTGTCCCACACCCCTCTGTATGCTAGGGCCTCACCCTTCCCAACACTATCTACATGCCTCCAAGCCTTCATGCTGGGAGCCATCCTGTGGGCCCACACCTTCTGGAAGCCAGCTGGGTTCCCTCACCTTCCCCTAGGGCACACCTAAATCCAGATCTTCCTGGGCGGGCATTATCTGTCATGCTACCGATGCCCTCCCAGGAAGATCTGGTTTGCTCCCCGTCAAAGGATGCCTCGGCAGCCGAGGCCGCACGGTCAGCGCCCAGCAGTACCTGCATGTTGTACTCAAAGGCCTTGTTAGCCTCCTCCACGATCCTCTCTTTGGTCTTCAGGTTCAGGTCCAGGGCATTCATCCTGGCCCGGTAGAACTGCTTGAACTGCTGGGCATTGTCCACATTCTCAAACAGGTAGAACTGGGTCCCTTCCCCAGTGCTGGGCAGTTTCAGTGCCCGCTGGGCCACTTTCTTCAGCACCTGGCCCCCCGAGAGGTCCCCCATGTAACGAGTATAAGCATGGGCCACCAGCAGCTCTGGCTCATTCTGCCCTATGTAGTGGATCCGCTCCACATACTTCTGGGCAGCCTCGGAGCATTTCACCTGCTCCTTCCAGTTTTCACCAAAGAAATACTCCATGTCCTTGGTGAGCGCCTCCTTCCGATGCAGCTCCACAGGGAAATACAAGGGGGCAAAGGCTGGGTGATCCTTGTTTCGGTCCATTTCTTCCTCAAGAGCCGAGTAGGTGAAGTAAAGTGCAGTAGTGGCCAGCTGTGGGGGTGATGGGAGATTGTGGGAAAGGACTATAGACCAGACCATGTTGGAGCAACTGGAGACAAAAGCTCAAGCCCTTCCATTTCCTGAAGACCCACCCCATGACCTCTTTTCATATAGTGAGCTACTAATGTTTCTTACAAAAAAAAATGGCATGGTGAATTCTTTGGAACATGGATACTTTTGCTTCCTTTACATCACTAGTTATTCCATTTAAGGAGAGTCACAGAATGAGCGTGGAGAAACTCCTTGCTTGTCCCTTAACAAAGGTCCCTTAGAAAGGTTTCATTCGTTGACCCCGAATGAGTCGGGAGCCCAACCTTATCTGACTAAAGGCACAAACCTTAAACAGCTCCTTCTTAATGTTGCCTTTCAAGAAGTCCTTGACAAACTGGGTATTCTCTGCCCGGTCGTGTGCTTCTTTGGTCCCTTCCTTCAGGAGTTCAGAGAGGTCAGCCATTCTGCAGAGATGGGTTTTGTGTGCAGGTAAGAGTCAGCCCTTCCCAGCTCTCTGGAGAAGTCCAGAGGACAAAATAAAGTTCAGCTCTCAGAGTGACCACTTGCTAGAGTGGAGGCAGGAGCTGCTCAGGCACTTTGCTCCATCACAAGCAGTTGGTCCTTGTCAGGGAGCACTGGGCAAACACACCTGACAGTCTGCTGCAAGGACTTGGGACATGAGGACAACTCATGTTGCTTCCTAAAGAATATCCTGGTTCTTGTGTTCCCTTCTGGGAGGAACCACCCAAATGAATGACACTTTGCTTCTGTGGCCACCTAGTGGCCAGTGAAACACACGTCTAATTCACCAGTTTTGGCTGGTTTCTCCTGAAACAGCCTATCTTTGGAAATGTGTCTCCCAGAATCCACACTGCTGCCGAGAGCTGTGACTATAGAGCTGCTCCTGAGGCAGCCCTGCTGCCTTTCTCCCGTCATGAGTCCACACTCTCAGCACTACCATTCTACTATGTAGCTGGACCCACTCGTGGGAGGATGAGGACACAACTGAAGGGTAGGGCCAGCTCTGTGGTTCGTGCTGCTCAACAAAGTCATACAGGAAAAGTTGGACTGACGTATGGACGAGGTAGAAAACTGACCCTGCAGACGGTGTGCCCAGACAGCCTAGAGTGAGAAAAACTTGGCCCTCTCAAGGTACAGCCTCTGCTGGTTTCTTTAGATTCACTTCTATCACCCACATGCTGAGAATCAGTTTAGGTTTTCTTTTTGTTGGTGGTACTGGGGTTTGAACTCAGGGCCTCACACTTGATAGACAGTCATTCTTACTGCTTAAGGCACTGCACCAGCCCTGCTGAGAATCAGTTTTTTAGCAATTATTTCAAGGTATAAAAAAAAACTTAGTCGATGACAGGGTCTAATGAGAGAGGCTATGAACAATGCGGAGTAGGGGCCTGTAATTTGAGGCTTAGAGAGAACTGGTCCTCACAGTAATAAAGGCCTGCCCTAGAGTGGAGTTTGTGTTTCACATTTTAAGGGGTAGAAGACACTGAAGGAACCAGCTTTGGCTCTGATTACTCATTCTCAGCCCAGATGAAAAAACACTGAGGTTTTTAAGGAAAAGGGCATTGGGCTGGCGGAGTGGCTCAAGAGGCAGAGCGCCTGCTATGTAACCATGAAGCCCTGAGTTCAAACCCCAATCCCAACAACAACAAAAAAACATCAAATTCTATTACTCAACACTCCCAGCAGCACCTGCCCTGGAGAGATGTCAAGAGCCTTGCAGTGCCAACCAGGTGTCTGGGTCCACAACTCAGAGCCCATCACTACTCCCCAGTGCCACCAGCAGACAAAACCAGGTGCACTGGGCAGGGCAGGCCCTGGGCCCTCTTGATGAGATATAGCTAGCCCCCACTGCTTACCTGGTGTGGTTTTCCTTTTCTGGAGCCACGGAGTTCTTTTTCTCTGACTCATCCACCCCCTCGGAGGTCTCCACTTCTGCTGACATCGTTGCCGGGTAGTTTTTGCTGCCCTCACTCTGGTTCTGTAGAGACATAAGGAGCTGGTGACTCCTCACCCTTAGCACTCATGTCCCCAGATTCCTGCTCACTCCTCTCCGAGGCTGTACAACAAGAAGACACCCCTGTACCCAGGGCTGCTTTTTTCACGATAAAGCTCTCCCACTACTGTTCACAATATGAACAACTCTGAGTATGGACAGATTACATAACATGGGATCGGTGCTGAACTTGTTCTCAGCAAATACATACTGAGGCATTCAGAAGGAAAGGGCACACCATCTGCAGCCTTCCGTCAGCCGGGGGAAGATGTGTGTGGACATGCGTGTACATGTAGGGGAGGGAGGGAAGTTGGGGAGCATTCACAAGCAGGAAAGCAAATGAGGCAGTGCTGCCAGTGCATCTGATAAAAAGTACACAAGAATTCTTTGTATTAGTCTTACACATTTTTCTGTATGTTTGAAATTACATCAAAATTAAAAGCTAACAAAAACACGAAAGAAAATATGTTAAAAAAATAAAGATGAAAAAAAAAGTTACAGCACCTCTCAGTTTGTTGCAAGCAAAGCAAGGCTTCCTGTTACCACAACTTTGCCCAAGGCCAGCATGTCCTACCTGTTGGTGGCAGGTGGCCTTGTGCAGAAAGCAGTGGGAGCAGGGTGGTGGCTGGAATTTAGTTAAGCCAGGATGTGCCCAGAAGCTCCCCTGTAACTAGAGCAGGTCACACGGCACCCCAACGTGTCAGCTGCTACTCAAGACTGCTGAGCTGAAGAAAATAATAAGGTCGCCAATCAATTCCCATCTTGCTGCACTAAGCCTTCGTCAGCCAGGGGATACAGTCCCACAACACTACAAGCTCATCCTCCATCCCTGGAGGTTTCCACTATGGCAGTGTAAGGGCAGCCCACTTAGGGAACTTTCTAGATAAATAGTAGCACAGAAGCCTGATGCCAGTAGCTCACGCCTGCAATCCTAGCTACTGAGGAGGCGGAGATCAGGATTGTGGTTCAAAGCCAGCCCTAGGCAAATACTTTGCAAGACCCTATTTAGAAAATAACCCACCACAAAATAAAGCTGGTGGAGTGGTTCAAGTGGTACAGTGCCTGCCTAGCAAGCAGGAGGCCCTGAGTTCAAACCCTAGTACTACCAAAAAAACCAAAAAAAAAAAAAAAACAGTGGCACAGTAGCACCAACAATGAATAAAGTAACTCACAAGTACAGAACTACCAGCACGGGAACCAAATCAGATCAAACTGAGTCAAGGAAAAGAGAAGCCTAATTTCCTACTCCAACCAGTACTTATCTACTAAGCATTTTCTATAGGCTGTACCCAGAAACAGATGTGAAGGGGGGATAAAGATGTAAGAAATGGCCCTAGAGAAGCTGGAAATGTAGCTCAGAAGAAGAGCATTTGCTTAGCATGCTTGAGGTCCTGGGTTTGAGCCCCGGTGCTAGGGCAAAATAAATAAAAAAGTGAAGAATGGAAAGGCAGGCACTCAAGTGGAGAGAGGGTACAGAGCCTCTTCCTGAAGAAGAGTTACAACAGCAGCAATTTAGGGTGACGGAGGGCCTGCAAAACAAGGAGATAACATGAAAAGGCAGAAATGGAAGTTTACGGAGACGCTGAACATTTTTTTACACTCCTTTTACAAGAGGCTAAAGCAGGCTTTGCCAGCTGGGGAGTAAGCCCTACCTGAGCCTTCTAAGGACTTGTTCACAACTGACCTCAATGTATACAGACTTATAAGAAAAGCTCCGCACTCCTGAGGACCTTGACAGCCAAAGATGTGTCTTCAGCCACTCAGTGCGTGGGCAGCAATAAGAAGAGGGTGCTGGGAGGGGAGCACTGGGCTACCTAGAGGAGAAAGGGGCACAATGAAGCATTACAGAGCCTCCAGACAGCATGGTTATGCTGGGGACACAGCCAAGTGCCCTAGGCCCACAGACCAGGCTGCTTAGAGGGAAGCATGGTAAAGACAAGTGCAATCAGTTGCACAGGTTACCCATTTCCTGCCATTTGCACCTAATATGCTGCAAAATAGTGGCTGTGGATGTGACTACTGTTGTCATTAACTGTGCTTTATTCCATAATTGCTCACTCTGGGAGAGCAGTTTGAACAAGGCCTTTTCTCTTAAAAATACAAAATATACATATACAAAAATATACTTATACACACAAAAGGGGGCTGGGTGTAGTGGTCCACACCAACAATCTTAGCTACTCAGAAGGCAGAAATTGGGAGGAACACAGTTCAAGGCCAGCCCGGGGGGGAAAAGAAATTAGTGAGGCCCTACCTCAATCAATAAACTGTGGTGGTTCACATCTGTAATCCCAGCTAGGCAGGAGAGGTAGGTAGAAAGACTGATGTCTGAGGCCGGCCCTAGGCAAAAATTCCATATCCTCTCTGAAAAATAAAGCAAAAAGGGCTGGGAGCGTGGCTTAAATGGCAAAGTGCCTGCATAGCAAGTGCAAGGCCCTGAGTTCAAAAAGAAGGGGGGTGAGCTGCCTTCCTCTGGCGCCTACTTTGTCATCTTCTTTTTCTGAGCAGCACTTTATTTCTTCCATATCCCGTAAGGACCTCTCCACCCGGTGCTTCAACCTCATTCTGCCTGTCAGCCCGATTCTATCCTGCAAACCAGCCTGATTCTATCCTGCAAACCATGTCCCTCTGGCCCATGGGACAGGGCCACAGCTATCTTTTCCACTTCTAAGACCTGGAAAATACTAGGCTCTCAACAAATACTTGTTGGATTTAAAAAAAAATCTCCCTCAAAAAGCAAACAAACAAAAAAAGTAGAAGGAGATTTTATGTATACTATAATGAATATATATGTATTATACTTTTTTTTTCTTCTTTTAGTATCAGGGTTTGAACTCAGGGTCTACACCATGAGCCACTCCACCAGCCCTTTTTTTGTGATGGGTTTTTTCAAGATAGGGTCTCGCTAACTATTTGCCCTACCTGCACTACCCCTCCAGGAAATGACATGTAGTGTAGCACTGAAAGGCTACCTTACAAGAGGGGAAAAGAATTCTTTGCACTCTCTGAAAAGTTACATGTCCAGACTCAAGTCTGGCTGACCTCTATGTTTAAATCCTTTGTCTCTGCAAGAATCACTGGAATTCCAGAAAATTGGGGGCCAAATGATAAGCACAAAGCCTTTCTAGACTTCAATCTCTCCTATCAACAAGAACTCCCTCACATATACATAATAGCAGGAACAGAAGGGAAAAAAAAAAAAAAGAGTCCACTCTGGGAAATACTTCTCAAGAAATAATAATCTGTACCAAAAATAATAGCCATACTATGTTAGAAAACAAATCATACAGCTGAAGAGCTGGGCTCCTCAAAGGACAGTAAACAATGGTATAGGCATAGCCTTGACAAGCTGATAAACTGCATTCTTGCATGGAAAAGTCTACATAAACTTATTTAAGAAAAAAAAAAAAAAAAAAAAGCCAGGTGCCAGGTGGCTCACACCTGTAATCCTTGTTACTCAGGAGGCAGAGATCAGGAGGATTGCAATTTGAGGCCAGTCCAGGCAAATAGTTCTTGAGACCCTATCTCAAAAATACCTTACACAGCCAGGCACCAGTGGCTCACACCTGTAATCCCAGGTACTCAGGAAGCAGAAATCAGGAGGATTGAAGGTCGAAGCCAGCCCAGGCAAATAGTTTGAGACCCTATCTCAAAAATACCTAACACATAGAAATGAACCAAGCCTTGTATGCACATATGAATAATTAAAAAAAAAAATACCTAACACAAAAAAGGCTAGTAGAGTGATTCAAGGTGTAGGCCCTGAGTTTAAGCCCCGGTACAGGAGAAAAAAAAAAAAAAAAAACCAACACAAAACAAGGCTGGTGCAGTGGCTCAAAGTGGTAGAGTGCCTGACTAGCAACTGTGATTCCCAGAGTTCAAACCCCAGTACCACCAAAATAACTAAATAACACAAAATTTTAATTGGGCACAATATCTCTAAATTAACTGGTATGAAACCTGGTTTATCTTCTTAAAATCTGACTCAACTCTTGTCTTTTTTAAGTTTTATTTTACTTTTAATCGACAAAAAAGTATATATATTTATTGGGTACAATGTGATGTTCTGACATATACAATAGGGAATGATCAAATCATGGTAGTTGACACACCCATCAACTCACATACTTTTATTATTTCTTTGTGGTGAGAACACTTAAAATCTACTTTTTTTGCACTTTTGAGATATAAATACTGTATTACTAACTCTAGTCATGGTGCAGTGCAGTAGATGGGCAGACCCTATTCTAACTGAAACTTTGTAACCTCTGACCAAAAGCTCACCTTTCTTCATCTACCTCCCCACCCCAACTTCTTCTGATAACTGCCTTTCTTCTCCCTGTTCTTGAACTGGACATTTTTAGATTTCACGTAAGTGGGATCATGAGATCTTTTTGTGGCTGGCTTATTTCACTTAGTATAGTGTTCTCTGGATTCATCCATGTTGTCGTAGATGACAGTTTCTTCCTTTCTAAGGCTGAATAGTATTGCACGGTGCATATATCTCACTTGAAAGAAAGTTCATTTGTTATTTGATGGGCATGTCTGTTACTTCCTACCTTGGCTACTGTGAGTAATGCTGACTGCAGCATGGGCGTGCAGTGTCCTCTGAGATAATTGTTTCTTTTGGATATACGACCAACAGTGGAACTGCTTTATAACCTATCTATTCTCATTCCACTTACAAATCCATCCATGGTATGGGACACAAAGAATGGTATGGCTTAGTGGAACAAAAAAGAACAGGAGAGGAAGTCAGGGGCAAAAAGTGCATCTCTTCAACACCTGTAAATCCCTCTGCATGCTCCAGGTTTTCACCTGTAAAATGGAATCAATACCTGTCCAGCGTTCAATAATACAAGACTACTGGGAAACGGGGCTGGCGAAGTGGCTCAAGTGGTAGAATGTCTACCTAGCAAACGTGAGAGCATGAAGTCCCAGTACCACCCAAAAAAAAAGACTACTGGGAAAATCAAATAAGATACACATTATGGAACTAACTTATTAAAAATGTTAAAAGTTATACATACTGTATGTCATTTTAAAACAAAATAAAACAGGACTGGGTTCATGGCTCAAATGGTAGAGCAACAGCCTAGCAAGCACTGAATCCCTGAGTTCAAACTCCAGTACCACAAAAACAAAGAAATAAAACAAAGAATTATACAAATATTGTTTTTAAAGTGAGAGTAAGTTCAGAATTCATTCTGGCTCACTAGCAATTACAGGAAATGAAAATGTGTTAGATACCAT